GCGCAGCACATCAGAGAGACGCCACACATTGACATGCTTTCATGAGCCCAGGCGACGCATGTCCTACTTACACTTACTCCAAAGTCCCAGGATGGGACGAAGGGGAAGATTGAGCTTTTACCACTAAAAAGATTAAGGGTTGACAAAGTGCAAAACAAATCTGGCTGACAGAAACAAGAAAAATATTGTTTCTGGTCATGTTTTGATCAAGTCAGATGGTCTGAAGTCATATTGGTTCTAAATATGCTATGAAAGATTAAGTTTGTTATATATTGTTTAGTTATTAGATGCATTCAGTGGTAAAAAGAGAACTAAAATCATACTTAAGTAAAAGTAACATTACTTGCGAGAAAAAAGTATGGAAGTGAAGTAAAAGTATCTGTTATATTCTGTTATGTTAGATACTCAAAGTAAGTAAAATGTCACCTTTCTAAAAGTACTCAGAGTAGTGAGCATAACACTTCATCATTGAAATTTTATCAAATCATTCCATCATAAAATTAAAGACCATGAATATTAAAAATATATCTTACATCAGTGCCATTTGCTTTTAATGTTGTTTCAGTTTAAGTAAAATTATTTGAATTTTAAGTTAAATTATTTGCCATTTAGGGACTATAAACTTAAAATGTGAGATTAATTTAATGTAAGAACGCATTACATTAATGTATGCATCCATAATAAGCCAACAGAATGACAGTTAATGCGTTCTGAAATCTCTGTGATCTAAGGGGCAAAAATCCCAATAATATCTGGATGCAGCCTTGATGATGCAAGCTGAGACTGCAAATCTCAGTGATGCAATATCCAACCCAGGCTCATTCTGATTTCATACCCCTATATGCATTTTTGGAGCCAGTAAAATACATCCCAGGAGCTAAGTTTGCAATTTTTGCTTTCGCAAATCCACCAGTGGCTGATGTATATGTTTTTTTCAGATCTCAAATTTCTAGCGAGTGCCATTCGCACCTGCTGTTCTCCCATTAAATCCACCTGACTGACTAACCGACCGATCCCCCCACGCTGCCCTTTCCCTAAACCCAACCACTAGTGTTTTAAAAAGTACCGATTGACCCGCCCACCCACCTCCCTAAACCCAAACACAGTGTTTTAAAAAGCAATCCAGAAAAATAAAAGTCCTCTGATTTTTACCACATTTTTATATTTTACCACATTCTCACCCTGTTATTTACCAGTTTGTTTTATTTTTTAGCTTGTTTAGTTTTTGTCTTACCTGCTTTCTGGTACCAATCTTCACCAGACAAGAACCTCGTTATCACGGTCAACTCAGCTCTGCATCTCAAGTCCGCCAACGTACATGTTGAGCTATTTTAAAATGTTCTTTGAAAGTCGCAGAGATGTCCACCTCCAGGTCATGGCGGCCGCTTATCAATCGTGTATCCGACGAGGGCAGCCTTTCTTCGGTTCGACTGACATTTGACTTATGCCTCTGGCTAGTTTGAAAATGCTCATTTTAATCACGTTGGATTTAATTAATATTTTCTCTTTTTTAAATTATTCAGAAATAAACGCTAAATTCTTATAATAAAATTGATTAGATTTTATTACAGACATTTTTTCAAGTAATTTCAATGAAATCAGTTGAGAACTGAAGACCACAAGTCCAAAGACATGTGGTATAGGTGAATTGGGTAGGCTAAATTGTTCGTAGTGTATGAGTGTGAATGAGGGTGTATGGATATTTCCCAGAGATGGGCTGTGGCTTATAGGGCATCTGCTGCGTAAAAACATATATGGATAAGTTGGCGGTTCATTACGCTGTGGCAATCCCAGATTAATAAAGGGACCAAGCCACAAAGAAAATAAATAAATGAATGAATTTGAAAACGTAACATGCTGTAGTACACTTTGTTATTCTTTCACAATTTCAGTCGTTATATGCACCATTCATCCCATCAGTGGCATGAGGTCTAAATAGTCCCTCACTCATTGAACATAATGATACATTTTGCATCTTAAACTATCTATCTATCTATCTATCTATCTATCTATCTATCTATCTATCTATCTATCTATCTATCTATCTATCTATCTATCTATCTATCTATCTATCTATCTATCTATCTATCTATCTATCTATCTATCTATCTATCTATCTATCTATCCATCCATCCATCCATCCATCCATCCATCCATCCATCCATCCATCCATCCATCCATCCATCCATCCATCCATCCATCCATCCATCCATCCATCCATCCATCCATCTATCGATCACTCTGTCAGGTAAAATGAGGACAAATCATAAAGAATCTGCTTGTGTTTAGACCGTTCTCCTCTCAGATGATGTAATCTGGGAGCTTTATCTCTGTATGAGAATATGAATGAAGACATTGCTTGTCAAAGGAGCCGTTGATTACATCATCTCTAAGTCCAGCTGAGCTCGATTTATTTCACGTGAGCCAGGAGAAATGCCTTGCGGGATTGAGCCGTGGATTGGAGGATTACTATAGTTCAGATCCACAACAGAAATTAAAAAATGGAGATTCGCATTAGCAATAACAACTAAACAGTGCAAGGGCATCGCTCAGCCTAAAGCGAGACCCTGACATCTTTTTACGTCACTCACAGATTGAGTTTAAAGCTGAAAGTGAAGGGAAAACAGCAGCAGTGCAGCAGCGCGCGGCTCAGCAGAGCTCCAGCATACGTAAGCTTATCTGGGAGAGATTGATTCACCATCAAACTGGCTGATCAGGAGAGTTGGGAATGCTGGGATCAGTTGATCCAACTCCAGCTCAGCAGCTCTGGAGACTTTCTGCCCTGTGAGTGAGTCCTGATATCCATTCAACATGTTTCCTTTCAGCGGAAACAATGCATGAGAGATTGAGATGTTCTTGTTCATGGAGATTTCTTAAGCTTTTTTAATAAACCACACTAAAAATTTGTGTTAATGTAACGTATTTTACTTATCGAAAGAGGCTAACCATATTTCAGTTGAATTTAAAAAGGTTTTATAAGATTCAGCGTGAGGTTTTAGGTCAGTTTAATGTAATTTAGGTTAAAATTGTAAATGAAGAGTTGATGATGAGCATTTTTTATCAGGATACTGTTTGTAGGATCAATAATATCACACTTATGGCAAAGAATACGTTATTTTCCAGCTCTTTAGAGTAAAATAACTTAACATAAACAAAGGAGGCTAAGAAAAGTGTTCATTTTCTATTGAAATTGGAGGCTGCACTTAAAGGTTTTTTGCATCTGAACTCTTCAAATATTTTTATATATATATATATATATATATATATATATATATATATATATATATATATATATATATACTTTTTTTTTTCTTTAACTCAAGGCACCAACTGCGATTTGCTTTGGTTCCTATTTTTCAAAAAAATTTTATTCTGGTCTGTACTTTTTTGTGACTTTTATATTATTGACTTCTTGTTTGATTGCTATTGAGGAGACTTAAAATCTTAAAATCTTAAGTTGGCATGAACTAAAAATCCTAACTCAACGTTTTATTTGAAACTAATTTCAAAGTTATTTGAAACTATTTTAAAGTTTCACTGATTATTTCAGAAGTATTGTCTAATTACTAACGTCATATATGTGCTACATGTTTTTAGAATTTGGATGTATTTATATTTTGGTTGCAGTAGGATTGTGTTTATTTTTTCCTTGGGAATGCTCAAAGTTTAATTCGGTGCTATATATCACTGAAACATCTACAAATTACAGATAATTTAGCTTATTCAATTCAACTTAGCTTATTTAGCTAAATTGTCAATTTAGCTTATTCAATTCACCTATAGTGCATGTCTTTGGACTGTGGGGGAAACCGGAGCATCCGGAGGAAACCCACATAAACATGAGGAGAACATGCAAACTCCACACAGAAAGGTCAACTGACACAGCTGGGGCTTGAACCAGTGACCTTCTTGCTATGTGGTAACAGTGCTAACCACTGAGCCACCACGCCGCCCTATTTATAGTTAATAAATTATAAATTAAATATTTGCATCTAACAATTTCATTTTAAATAAGTCAATTCTGTATAATTGATAAAAATAATGATAGTTATATTAAGTCCTATACAGGCGCGGTACTAACTATTAACTATATGCAAATATAGCCTGATCTCATGAGGAAACTTAAGTATTTTATGTTTTGTCAGTTTAGTGGCTAATTCAGTCATACGGATATGTACGATTTTAAAAAGGAGGCATGGCACCCAACCCCTGGGTGATGCAAATCGCACTAAATTGTACAAATTAGATCATACGAATTAGCCAATAAATTAAATAGTTACGAATTGCCATGAGAATACGTTGGCATATACTATACATACTTAAACTATACACATAACCTAAACCAGTCTATACATGTACTTTTACATAAGACATAACAATATTGAGCAAAAGAGGTAATAGAGGTTGATGAAAAACAAGTAGTGTAGCATGATTTAAGGTACATTCACAGGTAAACATTGCTTTTTTTTCTATAAAGTCTTAGTAAGATGGAGTTTAAGTAAAGTGTTTGGTATATATTGAGAGACAGAGTGTGTTTTCTACTGGTGGTTTGTCAAGCCCACTCACCTGTGTGAGGCACACTCATTGTTAAAATTAAACTACCCAAACAAATTGATGTTCAGTTTCTAGGTTCAGTTTATTGATTACTAGAAAATGATTGAACTTTATTATTGTATATTGTTGTAAGTTTTTTTTTAAATGAGGTCTACAGCTTCATGTTCATAGAATTTAAATTTACATACAGAATGTACATTTCTAAATCCTTAGGAGTGCTGAAATAAGAGAGCCTTGTATCATCTTTTTCATTTTAATCGACATGATATTTGGACCCGAGGGGATGTAGAGGTTCCTTTGTGTGTGTGATTTTGGATGGATTATGAATTTTGTTTGTGTAGGATTATATTTTTCTTGTGAAATGTACTCGAATGTCACTCAGAGTCAAGCGTGTTGCTGAGGCTGCCCTCATGATGCACTCACCTGCTGTTTCTCTGCTGACACAGGTGACTCCCAGCGGGTCGAGATGCCACGTAAAGACATGGAGGTAATCATGGGGCAAATGGTGGTTCTGGAGGCCTGGTACACCCCAACCACCTCCATCGACAAAAACACCGTCATCTGGAGCTTTATGGCCAATGACTCCAAACAGGTGAGGAGCTTTCCAAATAATATTAGCATGATTGGTGAACATGTAATAAAAACCATTTTCACACATACTGTATATGGTATGATCAGTGTTGGGTAAGTTACTTTAAAAAATAAACAAAAACAATATATTTAAATTACTTATCTTATTACGTTGTCTGAAAAGTAACTTAGATATTCAATAAGTAATTGAATTACTTGATGACTCAATAATAAATATTTACATAAACCCCTATGCTTAGACAATAGAATTTCAAGAGTTCACATTTAGCTGATGATTGAATATAAAGCTTGTTTGGCATGCTGTCCTGAAGGAGAGCCCTTAGCTCATAAGATCCTTGAGCCTGGGGCTCCGTCTTGTTTGCAAGGCGAGAGGGGAGTTTGAGCTCAGGTAGATGCTGATTTGGATTAGTCAATTAACTTAAGTTGCATGGTTTTGGATGGTGGGAGGAAACCGGGAAACCTGGGGGAAAGTCATGTGAGCATGGGGAGAACATGTAAACTTCGCACAGAAACATCGGCTGGCTTGGTAAAGACTAAAATCAGTGACGTTCTTGCTTTGAGGCAATAGTCCTAACCACTGGGCCACTATAAATCTTGATAAATGTATCATTTTAGCTGAAAAATAGATTTATTCTGCAAAATGTATTTCTATTTATATGTTGTAAATTGTAAAAATAAAGTTAACATGTACAATTGTAATAATAAAGTCGTAAAAATACAGTTAATATGCTTCTCTGAATTGATTTATACAGAACTGGTGAATCCATGTACCAAATTTAGGCAAATAAATGATAAATAACTGTAAATAAATTGAGTAAACCCTTCACTTTTTTCAGTGGAAAGGAAATTTAATCACAGCAACTGGTTATAATGAACATATATAAATAATTCATGCATGTTCAATAAAAAATGTCAAGAGAGGGTTTTCTTCAATGTCAAAAATATTAGTAATTTATTGGACACAGATGAATAATTCAGTGAACAGAATTCTGGTATCCTCAATGCAATGCAAGAATTACATTCAGGAGGTGTGTAACAACTCTACATATCCTGGCTCAAGAATGTCTACACAGCTGATATTAACAGGTGGAGTTTAGTGGAATTTGTAACTTGCAAATCATTCTCCATTCCTCTGGCGGCCACACCAAAACATACTTTCTCTTCTTACACAATGTCTCTTCACAACTTTAAAGCATAAATGTTCCCAACTGTAAATAATCTGTGTACAGTTTCAACCAATCTCTGCTCACAGGAAGTTTAGCTTCAGAGCTCAAGTGACAGTTTAAGACATTTGGCCTTTCCATTAGCTTCATCTACATCTGCAAAAATGCTTCATTAGTATGCAATATCACACTCAGAAAAGTTTGATTAATATATATCACCTTAAGCAATGCAAATACAATTGTTTAATGAAAAGAAAAATTGACAAAAATAATAAAAAATATATATTCCTTTTTCCTAACATAACTAATTATTTTCTATCTAATTACACCCAACACTGGGTACAATCGAGTATAGTTAGCACAGCAGCATTTTTATATTGTTTCAATCTTTCTGCAAATACAAATCAAATTATGCCTTATTTGTAAATCATGCTGTGGTAAAATGAATTGATAAAAAGACCCAAGTTCTTTCAGTTCATTCATATTTTTGTAATGATGGGTTCAGAATGCAGTGTTTTTCTCCAGAAATGGACTCTGCTCACAAGTTGTTGTCTTCAGAGCTTTTTTAATGCTTGGTTTCTGCATTGTTTGCCTCAGTATTACCAGTGGGCGGAGCTAAACAAGCAGTACTGTAGAAGCTGGCATTGATCTGTGAAGGCGGAGTTTAGACATACTATTATATAACAAAGTGGCTCATTCTGCAACCTTCGTTTTGGCAGATTGGCTTCAATATAAGCTGTTTATAGCCGAAAGAGAACGTTTTCTGCACAGTACAATTAATTTAGTTTTCACCGTTCATGACCCCTCAAACTCAAAGTTTAAGTTGTTGTTTATTATGACAGTAATGTTCACACATCCATAATCAATCCAGAGAAATGAAAACGTGATTGTACCACAGTATTTCATTTATAGTATGTGTCTGATCGAAAGGTGCTAAATTCAACTTATGTTTATGAAAATAACCACAATTTATGAAAATTTATGAAAAAAAAACATAATTTTTAACAGTAGTGTAGATCTCATGTAAATACATACAGTTGAAGTCAGAATGATTACCCCCCTGTTTAATTTTCTCCCATTTTCTGTTTAACAGAGAGCAGATTTTTTCAACAGATTTCTAATCATAATAGTTTTAATAACTAATTTCTAATAACTGATTTATTTTATATTTGCCAAGATGACAGTAAATAATATTTGACTAGATATTTATCAAGATACTAGTATTCGGCTTAAAGTGACATTAAAGGCTTCACTGGGTTAACTAGGTGAAATCGGCAAGTTAGGGTAAATAGGCAAATCATTGTATATCGATGGTTTGTTGTGCAGAAAATTTTAAATAAATGTAGCTTAAATTTTTACATTAAAAATATTTTTTTTCCTTTAAACTGCTTTCATTCTAGCCAAAATAAAACAAATAAGACTTTCTCTATAAGAAAAAATATTATCAGACATACTGTGAAAATGTCCCTGCTCTGTTAAACATCATTGTAAATATTTAAAAAAAAAAATCAAAGGGGGGCTAATAATTCTGAATTCAACTGTATATTTTTGTACAATAGCTAGAAACTGGAGTCAATTAGAGAATTTTGAAAACCATTTTTCAGGTGTGTTACTTGTTTCTCAGACAACACAATGCTAATGTTTGAACTTCAAAGGAATTAGGGAAAAATATCTATAGAATTGATTATCTTATTATCTTTGTAGTTACAACAATGAAACTATTTGTTGTTCTGACAAAATGTCATTTTCTGGGAAAAAAAGTTATAAATTATATTTATATTTTGAAAAAATGCTAATACACCCTAAAATACTGTTTTATCTCAAATTAATACCTGAATAATCCAGTATTGGTAGATGATGGCAGCTTAAAGACATCTCTCACATCACATGCATCTCACATGCATTGCTTAGGTCTGATTTTTTTCTCACAGACTTCAACAGAGTGTAAAAAGAGTTTCCTTGGCTGTGTTTTGAATCATTGTCATGCTGAAATCCACTCTAGTTTCATCTTCATCATCCTGATAATGTAGATGTTGGACTGAAGCAGCGAATATTAATTTACAGTGACGAATGGTAGAGGGTTGCAGAGTAATACTAAAATTTCAGCTGCTGTCTGGGCTTTCACTGCCTATCTACACCTTCCTTTCTTCATATGTTCAATTATTTTCCCTGCATCATTTCATTTTATTATACATAACTTAATTTGTAAATTAATTAGATTTGTTTTTGCATATATGGATTTCTTAGGTTGTTACCAACATCCAGGGAAAATTTCAAGTCACCTTTAGAAATATGTTTTCTGACAAAAATGATGACGTGTTCAAAACACGTTCCCTGCTGTAGCTGTATGTTATATCTATATTAACCCACACAACATACATGATATATAATGCCTGCATTTTAAAATAATCCAATTTTATTTGCTGCATAAGCCTAAATAAATTTCATTTGTCAGCTACTAATTTCCTGTCTGCTTTTTCCTGTCACAGTGCGGGGGGGAAAAAGGATTACATGAGAGAACAATCTGTTGTCTGCCATCAGTAGACTAATAAATTGCATGAACCTGACATGTCAGAGCAGCTCCTCTCTCATCCTCAGCAGATGGGCTTCAGTGTAATGTGGAGTATAGCGAACACTTGAAAGGTCAAACACCGCTTATGAAAATACACGTGATGAGCTTGATGGATGGAGAAGTAGATTAACTCGAGCCGTTAGCACTAAAGGTTTTAGCTTGAGATATAAATGTCAGCTAATACATCCTCAAGGTGTGATAATGTGTATGTTTATACTGTATTTGGAAGCCAGAAAGCACATGTAATGAACGCATGTGTTCGAATGATGTTTGCGATGCTTATGGTAATCTGCAGTTTCACTTGTTCCTCTTGCCTACAAGCTTATCGTACATAAACGGGAAATCAGCCTAAAATTCGAACTTGACCATCTGCACTTGCATCTGAGGATTATCTTTAGCATGACAGTTTACCTCCATCATTATCATTGGTCAGAAGCCTCTCGTTTTAATGTTCTGGGACAAATATGCATATAACATGTACAGAGTATTAGTATGTTCTATCTTTTTTTTATTTGCACATTTTTGGATTAAATCTGTGCCGTTTTTATTTTATTTTTATTTTTTGTTTACATCTTACCACAGGGCTTATTTTGGTATCGCTACTCATTTTTGTAGTGTTTATTAATAATTTGATTAAGGTTTTACTTTTGTATTTTGTGTTTTTTTTATTTTTTTTATTTCATTAAGTTTTAGTATTAATAGGCTGAGGAACAGCTTCTTTCCCAGAGCTGTAGCCTGTATTTCCCCTGTAACACATACACAAAAGGATACACAGTAGCTGCTGAAAAACTAAAACTGACTATAAAAACTCAGCTGTTGCCTCTTCATCATCCTGCTGTTAATGCACTAAACACTAAAGTGGTAAAACCAGGACTGGGTTAATATATTACGCCTGTTTCACACCGCAAGCGTCAGCGGCGCGTGAGCAGAGCGTGAGCAGCGCGTATGTCGAGCAGTAGCAGCACGCAGGCGTTTGCCTTTCACACCAGCTGCGTCTGCAGCGCGCAGTTCTTCGGCAGCTGCTGCATAGATCAACCTATCTCTGTCTATTCTATCTAGTTACCCATGTCTCTCTATATACAAATACACCTTTTAAACTTTTCATCTGTCCAGCGGCAGAATAACAGCTCGTTAATTCATGCTCGTGCAGATGATGAGACGGACAAAAGTTACCAATGCATGCCATTATTTTACTTATTTTCGTGTTGTCAGATTCACAGTGCAAACAGCTCCCGGTAGGAATAACTCGAGTGAACATAAAACAAAGCCGATTTAAACTTTCTTCCTCTGCTCAGCTGCACAGCACACAGCGAGCTCACATCATCCAGCATGCGTGTCGAACTACACTACCCACAATACACTTCGCTATGGACTACAAATCCCGTAAATATTCTATTTCCCCTCTCCTACAACACTAGTGTGCAACTTAAGCAAAACTGATACTAAAATTGTTTTACATTTGGTTTTGTAGTTCGGGCCTAAATAAATGTTGCCGTTTTTAATCGTTTTAAGTTCATTTGAATGACTATATGTATACCATTTGACGTTATCAACGTATTTATTGGGTAAAATTGCTACTTTTTACTGTCATTCATTGTGTTTTGGTCATTATCAATGCACTGTCACTTTAATTGAGCGTGAGCAGCGCGTCAAAAATAGACCCAGCGCCGAAACTATCGCTGCACTGCTGCTTCGGCGACGCTCACGCCTCGCACTGACGCGCTGCTGCTGCGTGCGGTATGAAAGCTCTAATCTGTTAACATGGACGCCGAAAACACACGCGCTGCTCACGCTCTGCTCACGCGCCGCTGACGCTTGCGGTGTGAAACAGGCGTTATATTTATTACCGTTCAGTTCACTTAACTTTTCGTTTTTTGTTTATTATTTTTTTATTCTTATTACTGCTGGTCATTGAGAGCTACCAAACAAATTTCATTGTAATATTATTACAATAAGAATAAAGTTTCTTTATTTTTACACTCTCAAAAATATAGATACACGAGTTGTCACTGGGGTGGTACTTTTTCAAAAGGTAAAAATTTGTACCTACAAGGTCCATATTAATACCTCAAGGGTACATACCAGTACCTAAAAAGTAAAAAAGTGTTCCTCTTAAATTTTTTGGAACTAATATATACTTTTGAGGTACCAATTTAAGTCTTTTAAATACAAATGTGTACCTTTTGAAAATGTACCACTCCAGTGACAGCTCACGTACTACATTTCTTATATCTTTTTCCTACATTTTTTTTTGCAGTTTTTGAATTATTTTAGCTGGGTTTTAGGTTAAACTGAAATGAAAATGAGAAATAATTTCTTGTAACTAATATCAAACAATAATTTGTCGTAATATGTTTTACTTTTGGGGTGGCACAGTGGCTCAGTGGTTAGCACTGTCGATTCAAAGAAAAAGTGAATGAATGAAATATTTAACTTTTCTTCTTTTAAAGTAGCAACAATTGTTTTCGTTTTATAGTTTTAGTTTTAATTAACTGTAATAACCCTTGATAATGTTAAGCCTGTTTTTAAGCAAATTACTGTTTAATGTATTCTGCTAAAGTGACAGTAAAGATTTCTCAATGTTATAAATATGTATATATAAAGCAAGAGCGAACAGTTAAAACTAATGCTGCTCTTTTGAACAATATCTAATGCAGAAAAAAGGTGACCACAAAAAAAGAGTAAAATTATACAGCACAGCTGTGTAATAAAGCACACCTTTCGAAATAGATATTTTAAAAATATATTCACATACAGAAATATGTACAATTATTTCACAATATTAATGTTTTTTTTTTTATTAATACAGCCTCATTAAGCAGAAAATACTTAATTCCAAAAACCTAAAAAACTAACCTAGCCCTAGTTACTGTTAAAACAATACTGTCTCTGGTTATGTTTTTGTATCATCATGCTGTTGATTTAATTTTCTTACACCATGACAATTTCTACGATTTAAGATCAATGCACATTGAGCCTGATTTTGTTTTGTCTGACATTTTTGTACATAAAAACCTCATGCTCATTCACATTTACACACTGATTCCAAAACTTTTGTCAGTCATAAAACAACTCAGATCATTTTCTTTTTTTTTCTTCGTTTTTTGCACCCATTTAAAGCATTTTGAGAGGTGTTCTGACAATAATGCGGAATGCTGTCCCACAGACAACTTTTTGACAATCAAAATGCGTAATATATTAAGAGAGAAGGTTGATGGTTGTGAACTGATTTCAATGCCTGGTGCATACCTTTCCTGTGTGTTTATGTGTGTCCATCAAGGTTATTATATTTTTGCTTTTTCGAAATATGTTTTTTATTTTTATACTATGTACTTTTTAAATTTGCAGTACATTTATAATTAGTTTTAGTTCATGGTTTTGCTAGTTTCAGTTTTTATTTTGTGAACCTATTTCTATTTAGTTTGTGCATATTTAATTTCAGGTTGCGTTTTAGATATTCTGGCTTAGCTAAAATGTCCTGTGTCAACCAAAGCAAGTTTAGTTTTTGAACAGCTTACAATATTTCTTTTTCAATTATCTTAATAATAAAAACAAAATAATTGTTTGAACAGATACTGAATCCAAAACCACACAAGTGCAATGGGTTTACGTAAATAGGATAAAGAATTAAGACAGACTTGACGATCATTTTTTGTAGTTAAACATCTCAAGTTTGCGTGTTTTGGTAAATAAAGAAAAGATAGATCACATATTTTATGTTAAAATAGAAAAATAAATATTTTTTGTGAATAATCATGTGTGTTTAGCTGTAAAAGCTCCATCTAGGTACTTTTTTGAACAGCCACAGGTCAGATTTTCCACCACAGAATGAGTGCTTATAAATTTTGAAAATTATACTTATGTTATTTCACTAATTATTTGTTTATTGGCTTAATTATAATAATATTTGGCTTAATCCCTTTATTAATCTGTGGTCGCCACAGCGGAATGAACCGCCAACTTATACTGCATATTTTTTTACGCAGCAGATGTCCTTCCAGCTGCAACCTATAACTGGAAAACATCCATACACACTCATTCACACACAGATTCATACATTACTGTCAATTTCAGCATACCCAATTCCCCTGAACCCCATGTCTTTGGACAAGGAAACCCATGCAAACACGGAGAGAACATGCAAACTTCACACAGAAACGCCAGCTGACCCAGCCGAGGCTCGAACCAGCAACCTTCTTGCTGTGAGGCGAACGTGCTACCCACTGAATTATTTATTTTATTTTAGTTGGCCGATTTTAGTCTTAGTTTTAGTTTACTAAAATAACTGTGCCCATAAAAGACTACTGTATCTACCTCAAGAAGTTTCTTGAAAACCTATTTTGCTGTTTATTATATGTGTCGATTCACACCACACCAATATACCGTAGGCTAAAACCAGAAGACGGAGCACATCACCATCATGTCACGACCTGACTTATTCATGCAGAATTACTTAAAATAAATGCTGACCAGTGGTTAAAGAGACTAATGGAAGACAAACTGATCCAACAAAAGTCAAAATGTTTGTTAGAGTGCAGTGGAGTGTAAAAATAGCCTTTATTTATGTACGTATAACAGGAAATGTGTGTGAGTGAACTACAGCTTACAAATGCACCTGATTACTTCAGACAAGAGTTTTACAAATGTTTGTTAAGATGTGTCTGTCTGTTTTCGTAGGTCATTTCATACTCATCGGGACAGATTGGCATTGGTAGCCCTGACTTTCGTAAGCGGGTGGGTTTTGCTATGTCCATGCCCTCCGCCAATTTGTCAATCTTCATCAACAACACACAGGAGTCGGACTCGGGTCGTTACCTCTGTAACGTCATCATCCCTGGAGCTGCAGGCCTCACCGGAGAGCTTCGCCTCAATGTCAAAGGTGCTAATACTGACCCACATACTAAATCTCCAATTTTGTGGACCTGAAGATTATTAACTTACAAAATTATCAAGATTTTAAACGAAAACAATAATCAGCACCATCTCATTCATGACTATATTATTAATATTATTATTCATATATAATATTATTAATATTAATATTATATTATATTATTAATATTATATAATTAATAATATAATTATTAATGATTAATTGATTTTATGATCCCAATGTATTTCCTGCTTTACATTTTTAATTTCCATAGCTTCCGAGAATCTAAAAAGAGCCACACGTTTATAAATTAAGTTATGATAGCTTTTTTAACATTAAGTTATGACTGAATTGCCTCTTGTTACATTATGAAATAGTTTGACAACAAGCAAGAAGTATTCATGGGCCAATGACATGACCACATTGAAATGGTCCATTTGAGTATGATTTACATAAACACCTAAACTGATGAAATCTATTAATGTGAAACATCAAAAAACTGCAGTAATATTCATATATAATTAATTCATACAATATTTTATAATTCATTGTGCTTGCATAAACGTTTTCTCACCAATGTAAAAAGTGCTAATTAACATACAGTATTAATTTAGGAAAATAAATAAAAATTAAATAAATTACCCTTAACTGACAATAATTTAATAAACAGTTAAACAACGTGCATTTTAAAACATAAGTTAACTTTCTGTCTCGTTTTTGTGTCTTTTTCAGTTCCTCCATCTACACCCGTCTGCTCTATGACTGGAAATCCTGTCCTGAGGGGAAACGTAACACTGAGCTGTAAATCGGGCTATGGCAAACCTGTTCCTCAGTACAAATGGACCAAAGCTGCTCCGCTCTCTGAGGTCTTCTTCTCTCCAATGCAAAGTGAGTCTTCTGTCTTTGTCACGGTGTTTCCTTTTCTTTCTGTATCTAATTTTATATCTCATGATCATCTTACTGAAAGCTTCAGTACGACAGTTCTGTTCAATTTGCTGTATGGTTTGATATAGTTTGCTGCTTTCAATTCTGATAAATTATGATTTTACGCTACCGTTCAAAAAATGGGAAACACTTTAATTTAGGTCACAATTCATACTGTTAACTACTGGCTTATTACCTGCTTTGGTCGCTTTGGTACATTTCTCAGAAATCAAAACTTCTAAAACGGTAAGTTCATTTCTCAAAACAGCACGTACTATCAAAACTCCATGGATTACCTACAAAAGCCAGTCTCTTGCTCAAAATCCTTAGTTCATATCTCAAAACTTCATTTCTGTGTCAAAGAACATGTCAGTGCCATCAGAATGACAAGTCTTTGTGTCATTGTGTATGGGTAAGACAGTCAGATTACATAGTCATGTTGTCAATATAAGAGTGTACTGTAACTTTTGACTGATCATGTCATTGTGATACAGAAAGGAAAATAGATCACTACATAACACAAATAAAAAAACAAAACAAAAAAAGTGGAATTGTGAACATATGAGAATGCATCTTCCTCTAAGATGCCTCTTCATTTGAAAAAATTCTGAAAAATGGACCAATTGCAGACGAATTTAACAAAAAGGCCTATTGGAAATCTATAGAAAAATGCATTATGACAAAACATTATAAGAACTCGTTCAGCCATTTTGCATGTGAAGACTTATGCCATAAACAAATGATAAAATGTTGTGGAGGGTGAGACTTTAAGGACATTGCTGGACATTAAGCTCAACTGGGGCACAGTTCCCTCTCCAAAAAAAAAAATTATATATAGTTATAAATAAATAACAGTATTATTGTTATTATACAATTATTATTATAATAAATAAATAACAGAAATTATTCCTAAATGTAGCTGGAAAACAATCGAAAGACACTGGAGTGATGGTAAGATAATTTAAGAAATCTTTTGCATGAATATTAATTTTATTACAATGAAATTTTGTAGACAATACTATAGAATACAAAAAATATGTTTATAGAATTATCTGTTGTGTGTTGTCCTAGACCCGACTCATGGCAGAGAATTAGGTTTATTAAAACTGTCCTCCCTGACTCATCATCTCTCCTTTTTGCTTCATACAGTCAAGATCACGCAACACAATCTTACGGCAATTCGTAACTTTTTGATTTAGTAATTCGTACTATCTAATTTGTACAATTTAGAACAATTTGCTCATCACCCATCGACGGTTAGGGTTAGGGGTGGGGTTGGGTGCCACACCTCTTTTTTAAAACTGTACATTTTCGTTCAACTGAACTCGTACAAATTCGTATGAATTAGCCACTAAACTGACAAAACGTAAAATACTTATGTTTCCTTGTAACATCAGGCTGATCATCATCATATTATTTAAACTTTGTTTTGTCGACTTGCAAAACTCACTGAGTGACGACACCTCCACATAAAAGACGTTGGTTTCACAATGCATGAGCGGCGCGGCTATTTTTTTGATGTGCATGTTCACAACTGGTACTTACACTAAGAGCAGAGCAGCGCGTCAGCGTCAAGCAGGAGTGGCGTGCGTGAGGCGCACGGTATGTTTTTTTTGTGCACATGCTCAGTTAGCTTTTTGATTCAACTGCATTACATTCATCAGCGTTGGTTCGGTTGCAAAGAATAACGTCGTTATTCTGGGATTAGCAACGCCCCTGGTGAGACTATTCAGACAGAGAGTGATATAATACATTTTGATCAACATGAAGCAATTGATATTGTAGGAAACATCCGAGAATTGCGCATATTTATTTGGATGTACAACAGCATTTGCACCTTGTTCAAAGGAATAAGAAACTGCCTTTTTGATGTGCACAAGTGACACGATCAAAAGATTCAACAATTAGATTTGAGAATTTCAATGCTGATCTGAGAAATGGACCAAAGCGACTGAGAAAAGATAGTAACTGTTCATTAGTGGATATAAAGTATAATCTTCTGCATCCTGCATCTATAATCCTACCCAAAACCTAAACCCAACTTCTACCTTACAAGAACTATTAATAAACAGCTAATAGTTTATTAATTATTAGTTATTAATTGTAGTTCATTAAGCTAGTGGTTTTAGTTAATGATTTGTTAAAACCACGAATAGTGATCTAAACTAATGTTACAAAAATAAAATAATTAAAATGATTTAGAAAGACTTTTCTTATATTTACTAAGGTTAAATAATAAACAGTTACAATATTCGATGTTTTTACAATTTGAAATCTATTTTTATGTTTTAATTTTTTTTTTAAATGTAATTTATTCCTGTGATGCAAAGCTCAAACTTTATTATCTTAAATACAATATTAAGTGTCACAGGATCCTTCAGAAATCATTTTAATATGCAAATTTGCTGCTTTAAAAAACTGACATTTAAAGCTGAACACAGCTGTACATAAAACACTTTTGTTAGTTAATGAATGTAATGTTTAAAAATAACAGAATTTATTTCCATTTGAAATTGATTGTAATATTATAAATGTACTTGCTGTCACTTTTGATTTGTTTATATATTTTGAATATTTGTATGTGTAAAGTATTCTTCAAAAATAAAACATTTAAACCAATTTTATTAAACAAAATAAATATGATCATAGAGCTGATTATTGCATCAATTGTGTAGATCAGCACAGACGACTTTAGTTTTAAAATATGCAGTTTACAATTAATTTTTTAAACATTCAGAATGATTTATTCAATCTGATCATCAGTAACAAAATACATTAATAACACTTTAAAATAATGGTCCAATAATTAATGTTAGCCAGTGTATTTACTAACATGAACAAATGATTAGTATTACATTAATTACAGTAGTATTCATGTTTGTTAACATTAGTTCATGTTCTGGAAGTTAAATAAGGTTAGTTTGTTAACTCACTATGCATTAACTGATGTTAACAAGCACAAAATTTTCCCTTTTTTTAGTGCATTAGTTAATATTTAACTATGAATAATACATGCTTTACATGATTATTCTTACTCAATGTTAGAAATGACATGAACTAACATTAACTAATGGACCATTACTCTAAAGTGTTACCAATACATTTGTGTGACAATTTCTCTTTTAAAATAAATGCTGACCTTTTGAACTTGCTATCAAATTCATCAAAGAACCGTAGAAAGGATCACAGTGTGTAAAAATACTAAGAAGCACAGCTGTTTTCAGATTTCATAATACACATTCAGCTAGCAGCAAGTCAGCATATTTAAATTACTCCTAAAGGATCATGTGACAGTGAAAACTAGAGTAATGATTCTGAAAATCCTGCGTTGACACTAATCTAAGCAGCATTAGTCGTATTAAACCAATCAAACCAGCATTTAATGTCTTTTAACTGCATTAAAATATAGCTGGCTGGCACGAAGGCTATATGGCTAGCATGGTCGCCTCACCGCAAGAAGGTCGCTGGTTTGACATTTCTGTGTGTAGTTTGCATGTCCTCCCCATGTCTGTGTGGGTTTCCTCCGGGCGTAATGTTTTCCTCACAGCCCAAAGATAAAACAGGGAATAAGCCAGATAAAAGTGAGTGAATGAACAGCATTTTTAAATCAAATGTATAGTCTTGCTGTATTTTCAATCAAAAAATTCAGGCTCTGTCCACATAAAATCCAATTTTTTAACTGTACTGACTACAAATTTTAATCAATACATACTATGTTAAATGAGGCACATGCAATGCACAAAGTAATGCACATGTAGGGATAATGTTGCTACTGTTTTGGTGTGCATTATTGTTTTTTAACAATTTAATGGACTGGAGTCATTTTTTTCTGCAAACATTTTCTAGTTCTAACCCATTCTAACTTTTGTTTTGATCAGATAATTTAAAAAAAATCATTTGAAATAATCAAAACCATTTGGCGTATTAAGCAGCCATGCTGAAAATCACCCTGGAACTACATTAGCTGTGCGTTTATCTGAAAATAATTGCACAGCTTCATCATAATGTTCATCAGCCAATCAGAATCAATCATTCAACAGCCCTGCACTACACTGTAAACACTGATTCATTGGATTTACTACATTTTTCTTAAGTTGTTTGCAAACAATTTAAATGGGCTGAATTAAAACAAAGAAAGTACCCAGCAGGCACAGAACGTCAACAATGATGTCAGATTGCCGTTTTACCCCAACGTCATGAGACGTTGCATTTTGTTTGGAAATGAAAATTGGGTTGACGTCAGAATCCAAAATCAGGCCGATGTCAATGCCCAACTTCCAACCTAAAATCAACCAAATATTAACATCTAACGATGTTACAGCTTGATGTTGTGTGGACATTACCACTATGACATCTATCAGACGTTGGATGTTGGTTGCCATACCTGATAAATAAATGTCAGCATTTGACGTCAATATAACATTGATTTAAAATGTTGGATTTTGGTCACTTTCCAAAACAACCTAAAATCAACCAAATGTCAACGTCTAATGATGTTACAGCTTGATGTTGTATGGATGTTACCATTATGACATCTATCAGACATTTGATGTTGGTTGCCATACCTGACGAACAAATGTCAGTATTTCACGTCAATATAAAGATGATTTATGATGTTGGATTTTCATCAATGCCCAAAGTCCAACCTAAAATCAACCAAATATCAAAGTCTAATGATGTTACCATTATGACTTCTATCAGACGTTGGATGTCGGTTGCCATACCTGACGATAAAAGGTCAGTATTTGACGTCAATATAACATTAACTTAAGATGTTGGATTTTGGTTGGATTTTCGTCAATGCCCAACGTCCAACCTAAAATCAACCAAATATCAACATCTAATAATGTTACAGCTTGATGTTGTGTGGACGTTACCACTATAACATCTATCAGACATTGGATGTCGGTTGCCACACCTGACGAATAACTCACGTTTGACATCAATATTAAGTTAATTTAAGATGTTGGATTTTTGTCAATGCCCAACTTACAACCTAAAATCAACCAAATATCAACTAACGATTTTACAGTTTGATGTTGTGTGTATGTTACCACTATGACTATGTCGGTTGCCATACCTGACAAATAAATGTCAGCATTTGACTTTAATATAACATTGATTTAAGATGTTGGATTTTGGTCACTTTCCAAAACAACCTAAAATCAACCAAATATTTATGTCGTTTGACGTCGTTATTGGATGTCAAAATAACATTGTTCATAGACACAGACTGAATTTTGGTCACCTGACATCACAACCTAATATTAACGTCTAACCTAATATTAACGTCTAACCTATGTTTCGTGCCTGCTGGGTAATTTGAACATTACTTAATTTAATTTGTTTAAATTCAGCCTATTTAAATAGTTTTCAACCACTTACCTTAAAAAAAAAAGTAAATCCAATGATTCCTGTTTGTTTATTATATAATAGATTTCATTGTTATTGTATCATTTTTCATTAGCCTCAAGTTTGACTTTGACCAAATACCTAAAACTTCTCATACTGGCACGTTCTCTGAAGCGATAAAGAAAGCATGCAGAATATTTTACCAGAATAGAAAACATGCAAAATGTGTTCTCCAAAATATATCATGATGATTTCTGTTGACATGTTCGTTCCGATCAGCACAAATCTTTAGTGGAAATACACGGCGGTGCCAGCTGTTCACGAAAGCTGGCTTATACTTATCAACCATGCAGCAAATTTCCTCCTTGATCCCAGACACGTGGGGCTCCTGACAGGAAAGACAAATGTGTGCGCTTCTCCTGGTCATCTGTCTTCCTCTTTGTCACTCGTATTCATTCACAGAGTGGAGGTCCTGCCCTCAGCCTCTGCTTGTGCTGGGATACCTGGGTAAGGGACTAGATCCTAGCATAGAAAGAAATAATGTAGATAGACTCTGTAGAGCCACTTTAAATGTGTTTGCTATTGATATATGATAATGCTAGTTGCACAAACATTTCAAAAGATTATTTGGTCACAATTTATTTTAATGTAATATTAAATGCTGTTTACAAACCATTAACTAATACTTTTAGCTCAATAAACAACCAATTAGCTGCTTATTAATAGTTAGGAGTTGGGTTTGGGTATTGGGTAGGCTTAGGGATGTAAAATAAGACTGTACTTTATAAGTGCTAATAAACAGCTGCTATAATAGGCAGAAAATATACCAGTATTAATAGTTTGAATTGTTACTTAAACAAAAGTGTTACTGATTATTATTACTTTTACTCAACAAGGATAAATTAAACTTTACATTAAGTGGCCTTAATTACTTATGTAATTATATTTATATTTAAATTAATTTAGTACAATGCACATATTATGTACATTTTACATTGGAATTAATTAAAAAAAGAATATTAGCATCTATTACATCTGTAGTTAATTCTTGTATTTAGCTAAACTGTTGACCCATCTTTTACACCTTAACCCACCCTTAAAACTTCTTACACCACAAATCCTGCCCCTAACCTTACCTATATCTCAATTGACCTTTCTCTAAGCCCCGTCCTCCTTAGTTACTGTTGCTATGCCTGTCAAGCTTTCGTGTCTGGCATGTTTATTGCAGTATGTATGCGCCGGTGTTAGACATTCCCAGAGATATAATTAGTCATTTTTGGCGAACAGGTGAGACATCTGAGAAAGCCAGACAAAAAAGGACTGCAGTATGCATTCCAGGGGTATATTCACGACTCAACAGCCAACCGATTAGAAAATAACTTAATCAAAATTGAAGCTATAGGTTAGCCTGGCCACCTCATCCCCTGACCATTCAACAGCTTCTTGCTCATCAGGAGAGGTTACATTTAAAAATAATCTAATAATACCAAATTAAACCGTGATTTCTCTTTTTTTTTTTTTGCCAAAAATCCTTCGATTACTAACCAACGAGGAAACATGCATAGACAGTGCTTCTACATAATTTATTCATAGAAAGAAAAGCCAGAAAGGCGAAATTGATGGATTTTTACTGAATACTAGCATAATTTACTCAAATCAATGTACAGCACATATAACTGTCAGTATGTTTGTTTGCTTTTTATACCGTCTCTATTCTAATTTGCAGTTAAGTGGAAAATAAATAAATTAAAATGCAAATTAAAGGATGAATAGCAGCAGTAAACGAATAGATTTTCCATACCAGCAAATACTGACTAAATCTCCAAAAGACCGCCAAAAACATCAGGGAATTGTAGCTCTGACATGGGCATGAGGGATATAAATGACTAAAAAACAGCTGCGGGTGAAGTATATTGATTACAAGTGCTCAGATTGTGATCACATCTCGGTTTTGTTCTGTTGATGTGTGATTCGAATATTCGTAGCTTGAAACAGATGTAAATATGATTGCTATTAGTATGACTACTATGGCTTAAAAGGAGCAGTGCTCATAATATCAAGCGAAAAAATAAAAAAGACAGCTGGGAAACATAACCTGCCTTGTGTTCCTGTATGAAACACAGTTTAGATATTTGAAGAGGTGTGTGAGTTATTGCTGTCTATCACTGAATGTGTCAGGAATATTGAAAACAAAACCAACTCAACTGCGATCTTATAGCACCCCTCACACAGCTTGATCAAAGTCCCTTTAAGTATTCTATAGTATTTTGCTTGATCCACGCTGGCATTTCTCCCCTTGGGTTTTAGGTTTTGGAAAGGGAATAAAACGCCACCACTCTGTCCAAACTGTTATGATTCCAGTGTCAGATTTGTACAATCCATATGCACAACACTTTGGCTTGTTTCCCTCGCTCAAAAGCTTGACAGACTTCCTGCGCGTAGCTACGGTTGCTAAGTGATGATTGGTTTGTGGCGGTTTTCTGGTGTGGCTTACCGAAGGGTCAATTGCATCATCAGTGTAATGCAATACAAAATGAATCCAATAAGTACATTTGACTAATTTTTTATGTATCTAGTAGTTAAAGCGACTTAACATGAGCTAATAAGACTTCAACTTGAAGTAGCATGAGTCATATTTTCTTGAAAAAACACTTTTCATTTTATTTCTTTATTTTTTTTCCTGAAGACTTGAAAATCCAGCTTTGCATCACAGGAATAAATATTATTTAAAATCATATTCAAATAGAAAACACATTTTTAATTGTGATACTCTTTCACTATTTTTTTTTTTAAATCAATTAATACAGACTTGCTCAGCAGAATAGGCACCTACTTCAGAATGGGTGTGTAACTGTTTTTGTTAAATGTGAGCTCTGTATGTATGAACTTAGAAGAAAGAAGAAGAACAAAAACGAATCTATCTTTATTCATTCCATCATAATCATCAAATCTAAAATATTATAAATATCTAAATAAATAATTTGGAAAAAAGCTGAGAAAAATAATTTTTCCAAACAATACTTTAGAAGGATTAGCAAAACAGCAAAACAAGATGGCAAACAAGTTCATCGATATCATTTAAGCTTCACAGGTTCGTAACTGTATCATTGGATTTCTATCCATTTATATCACACACTTTGAATGTTATCACTCAATTAAACGGGGGCATTATCAGTGGTTATCAGCGGATAGATATTCTGCACTGTCCTTCTGCACCTACTATTAGGCTAAAAAGGCTGTTATCATCCACCCACATGGTTGATCAGCTATACTAATTGAGAATACTCCAGATCCAGATCTATTTTTTCATTACTGTGACGATTGGGTTTAGGGTTGGCGTAGGGGTAGACATTAATAAAATACAATCAATGGGAAATTTAATAAACAATATAAATAATTATTGTTAACGTCCTGCCGCAGCCATATGTGATCCACAGCTGATTAACCATGTGGATGGATTATAACAGCCTTCTGAACCTACCAGTAGGCCCCTACTGGCCCATGTCTATCAGCTGATAATCACTGATAATGCCCATTCAGTCTAGTGACAACATTCGAATCGACTGTTTAAATCCTGTTGAATGTCTGATGGTTATATTAGATTACATTTCTGTAAACAATAAGCTTCCAATTCTGGTTTTTGGATGTTTGAATTCTGTACAATTTTTGAAAATGCACATTTAGGGCCTCATACCATAACAGTGAAAACATGGAAAGAATAAAATCCTATCAACGTCAGGGAATTGTTGTAATACAATAGAAAATGCTGTTAATGGCAGAAGTAAAAAAATGCAGGCACAACAATTTTATTATGCACATTATTTTTTAATGCAGAGGTAAACAGATTTCTGTGAATATGTGAGACCTTCGATTAGCTGCTGTATGTAAAGAATATAAAAGTGCAATAAATGGTAAGTTTTTACACTCAAACAATCGTCACAATTCACTAAAACTATACACTCAATAAAATATTTATTGGTGCAGTGCAATCTGAGCTGCATCCAATGCTTTTTAATGCACTCACCTAACCACACCCCAACCCTACCATCACTGTGACATCACTCACTCCATTGAGTGCATTGTGTCTGACATTGCATCGCTGATTGATGCAATCTCAACTTGCATCATGAAGGCTGCATCCAGATACTATTGGCTTCTTCAAGCTACTTATTTAAAATGAGATGAATCAACACAATTCTTAAGGTTTTTACAGGAACAACTGAATTCTTTTATGTTCAATTTACTTAAATTTATACAAAAATTATTAAAGGGCCGTGAAACCCCCTCGTTTCAGCAGGGTGTTTTCACACCTCTACTTTGGAAAAAGTCAGAAAAGTGGGCGTGTCCAGCTTTGTTTAGGGGGGAGTGTCGGAGGAAGAAAAGAGGCATGGTGTGGGAGTGTCTATTTGGGAGCGCTGAGTTTCAGAGTCAAAATACACACACTCAGGGGACAAAGTGACTGTGTTTACATGGACATCTGTAGTCGAATTATTTGCCAAATTATTAAATGGTGGACTTTAACTGCAGTTTAGCTCTTTCATTCAGGGAATTCATTCATGTCCCTCGCGACAAACGAGATATTTGATTCGAGGAACTGCTCTAAGCGTGTATTTTTCATGCAATGTTTGATACCGCACGGCGAATGAGAGAAAAAAAACTCAGCATTTCCCGGAAACTTACATGCACACGGCAGGTAGCGTCAGAAAGCCGTGTATGTTATTCCGGTCACAAAATGCGGTGAAAATCCTACACGAGGTTAAAGTTTGGTTGTGGTGCTAACATGTTTACACTCGGTGCAATAGTTAACTTAGTTTGATGCAAACAAACTGAATAAACAAAGAGCACTGGTCGCTCACTTACCAAATCTGTAGAGACAGGACAATCCACAGCAACTAGAGCCGCGTCTTTATTAAGAGAAGACTAAAAGCGAATCCGGATCTCAGCGTTTGCAGATGAGAACAGCTCTCAGGTAAACAATAATCCTCCTTAGACACGCAAGTTATTGTTTTCGCGCGTCGCGTACACTGTTAATCCACACGTGACTCCAGCTGAGCTCTCACAGAGAGAAAATGAAAACAAAACTTAATTGCAGCAAACTATAAAAGCAACACTTCACGCTTGTTTTGCCAACACAACGTGGCGTCTCAGTCGTCTAAACACTATGACAGTAATGAATATTAATGAAGTTGCACAATAGGGCGCGCTGATTGGTTTGAACCAAGCTTTACTCATGCATTAATTCATCACACTGTAAGACGTAATAAGACACACTCTGGCACAGACGTCCAGTCTGCACGCTGGAATACACGCTATTATGTCATGGCCGTGACGCAGCTTAAAAAATTTGTTTCAAACCGGAAGTACGAATTTGCTTGAAATAACGCAAAAACAACCAATTTACACCTTTTAGTGAAATATAGGTGTCCTAATAGTGTGTCCTAATGTGTTTTGGTGTTTCGTGACCCTTTAAATTAACTTAGTCTATTTGTATTAGGACAACATGAAGG